ACATTCGTGATTAAATTATCTTTCCATTGATATATAATTTAATGGTACTACTCCAAAAAAAGTGGTGTTATTAGCTATCAAACCTCAAAAATACACTTTTCCCAAAAGGTTTCCACAATTTTGGCCACTACTGTAGAACAAAGGACCAGCCAAAGGCAGTTAAAGCTATAACCATCCGCAAACCAGTTATTTCTTTTCCTGGAAATGCTAAGTTCTAAACTCTATGGAGCCAGGAGTTAAACTGTAGTTTTTTTTTATAGAAGGAAGAAAAGGAACCCCATAGGCCTCTTTGGCACACCTGACAGTCATGTGCAAAAGTCTATTTCTTTTTCCTAAGTTGTCTTAACACTCACTTTGGAACAAGCAAAGTCTGTTGCTAATGATGAGCAAAAAGGCAAGCTGCCAAATAACAGGAACTCAGCGAGTATCTATTTAACTATATTGAACTGAACACACTGTTGCTAAAGAGGTAGATATCCAAAGCACAAACCACAATAGACAGAAATACAAAACACAACAAAGTGTCTTTTAGATTTTGTTCTTCTTGGTGTTGAAGATGACACTTTCGAAGCTATAAAAATAATTGCCAGCCAGTGAAGAACTCCATTTCCTACCTCAACAAATCTATAGAATATAAGTCACTTCTTTGTTGTTGTTGGGTTTTTCTTTCTTTTGGTAAACTCTCAAGGCACATTAAATTATTTAGATCAAAACCTAAGTTCAGTCCATCCTACAGAGCCATTTCTAAAATAACTTTCACCTTATGAAAACAAAGTGCTTCCTTTTCATAAGGTGAGCATTACTTTAGAATTGTCCCTATTTGATGGATAATGACCAAATGATTCCTTCACATGCACATCATGTGTTACTAATATGCTTGCATGCAACAAAGCCAATCATTCTAACCTTCCCCATGGCTATCCTACAATGGTAGCAGGAGCTCCTGATGGTGTTTCTGTAAATGATATGACCAGGGGGTTGAGGAATTACTTCTCTTGTTCCCTTGAAGCAGCAGTTTATATCTAATGAAACTTAAACATACAGTTCTTAGGAAAGGATGAGAGAAATTCTTGGCTTGCAAGGTAAAGCAGAACTTTTAATTTGATCTTTCTTGAAAATACCTCTCCTTGGTTATATAGTTTAGAATCACAAACATTTGTATAACATTTACAGGGGATATGTAACATTCAATATATATGTAGATGTGCATATATATTATGTATTATCTATCTATCTATCTATCTATCTATCTATCTATCTATCTATCTATCTATCTATCTATCTAGCCATCCATCTATCCATACCTACCTATCCTGTTTCCCCTAAAATAAGACATCCCCTGATAATAAGCCCAATCGGGCTTTTATTATTTATTATTTATTATTTTATTTTATTAAATTTCTATACCGCCCTTCTCCCAAAGGACTCAGGGCGGTGAACAGCCAGAAGATAAAACACAGGAAATACAAAATCTAAAATAAATTAAAACAAATTAAATAATTTAGGCTGAATTTTAAAATACCCCATAATTAAACAGATTAAAATTTATGTTTAAAATTTAAATTTAAAACAGGAGATGATTTAGGCCAGGCCAGGAGATGATTTTGAGCGCATGCGCTAAAATAAGCCCCCCCCTGAAAATAAGCCCGCCCCAAAAATATTTAAATGCATGCACAGCTGGTCCCCGCCATTTCCTCTGGTTAGGTTTAGGGAGACAGAGCTGGAAATCAGGTAAGATGGCAAGAGGAGCCCTGTCCTGCTCCATGCGCCCCAAAATAATAAGACATCCCCAAAAATAAAGCCAAGCACTTATTTTGGGGTTCAAAAAAATATAAGACAGGGTCTTATTTTCAGGGAAACACGGTACCTACCTACCTAAGCATTTACATATAACATTTATATTCTGGATCTTTAAAGCATTTGCCAATGGATGATAATGTAGTTACAATATTTTAGGATGAAGGCTTTTGTAGATTGTTACCACTAATGCAGTGTTGTTGCCATATTGAAACAGTTGAGTTAAAAATTGTATGACCTCCCTCTAGGATGCTTGTTGATTTAGATAAATTATGTTTTAAATCATTTATTGTATGTCTTTGCTTATAATCATTTTTTACACTTATGACCATTGCAGCATCCCTGTGGTTCTGGGATCAAAATTCAGGTGCTTGCTTGGCAACTGATTCATACTTATGACGGTTGCAGTGTCCTGGGGTCATGTGATCACCTTTTGCAACCTTCTGACAAGCAAAGCCAATGGGGAAGCCAGATTCACTTAAAACAACCATGTTACTGACTTAACAACTGCAATGATTCACTTAACAACTGTGGCCAGAAAGGTCATAAAATGAGACAAAACTCACTTAACAAATGTCTCACTTATTAACATAAATTTTGGGCGCAAAATTTGTGTTCATAAGTCGAGGAGTACCTGTAAAAGAAGGCTGGAGGATTCCAGTCTCAGTTCCCATGATTTTGTACTCTGCTTCCTTAATTTTGGCAGTCCCTAAAAGAAATACTCTGAATTTAGGCAGTTTGAAGAACTCTTGAGAAGATGGGAGGATCACCAAAAATGGAGGATGATCATGTTTTAATGGATCTTGTGTACCCAATCAAGGAAGGCTCCAAGAAGACCTAAGAAGATCATTGTTTTGCTAGTTGTGCAAGATTGACAACTAAGCATAATTAAAGCCTTAAATTAACTGTGGGAGGAGTTAGTAATACATAACTAACTGTAAACATTTAGATACAGTATACATTAGGCACACACTAATATACTGTAGTAGCAGTAGTGCTACTTTACATGAAACAGATTAATCATTGGAGGATAGAAGGAAATAAATCATAAAGTAATTCTTTTACTGCATGCCAAGTTTCTTTGAAATAAAATATAGGAGGAGATGACGGGAATATTATCTGCTTCTCTATTTAACTAATTGTGGTTTAATGATTAATTTTTAGATCTGAAAGAGAAACTATGACTTTACTATCTCTTGAATTATGCCACAAATAAAGGCAAATTTTGTTTACAAGAATCTCTTTTGCATGCTAGAATTTTTCTGTTTGGATCCTGAAGGCCTACAAATTATACTGGCTTAAATATTCATATGGCAAAATGAGCCAAGTGTATGAATAAGTGCAACACAATGTATTCCACAGCCTTACAAATGATGTTACTTTTCATTTGTGAATGAATGTGGAATCAACTCACTCCCTCTCTCCCTGTCTCTCTCCTCTCTCTCTCTCCCCCCTCTTTTTTGGTAGAACAGTTAGTTCTGCATTAATGTGTTAGATAAGACCAAACAAAGGTGCATAGAACTTCATTTGGTTATCTGCTCCAGCCTCTTTCCTCTAGCGCAGGCCTTGGTGGTTTCCCTAAAATGCTGTTGAGGGATTTCATAGGATATGCTTGCAAGTGAATTGGATGGGCTCAGGCAACAAAGAATTAAAGAGAATTTATCAGAACAGTCTTGTCAATGTGTTGTGCTACTTGAAGAAGTTATTTGTAGATCCAGCCCACTGTGCATTGCTTTCTAGACTTTATTAATACAATAGCAGCGCAAGGGATATAGTATTTATGTATTTGCATATGGGTACATAGCACTTATATTGCACCATTTATAAAAATTCCAAGGCAATGTAAAGCAATCATCAATAAACCTTAATAAAAAAGCCATGGAAGGGAGAAAACCAAACACCCAGAGAGGTACCCCTTAAGTATACCATACATTTCATAGAAGCTACAAATAATTTATAAATACCTGGCAGAACAGTAGGCTTTAGACAGGATTTAAAAAATCAATAAAGTTGGCTTGGTGTATTTCTTCGGATTACCAATTCCATATTTAGAATTCCCTGTCACCATCACGTATAGTTTCTACAATCGTTTTTTTGTTCTCCAGAATTAAGAATGCATGTATATGGTTATCAGGACTGAGCCAGGTGTGCCATTTAGTTCTCCAAACCTTTGCATTATTTATTTTAACCATCCTGGCTGATGAGAATTTTTGTTTTAAGTTCATTTGGCGGAGTGTCCTTTTTGGTTCTGCTTGAGAACAGCACTCAGTTCTGTCCACAACTGTACAGAAATACATTTATAAAATGATCTAAGGTACTTTATTATCTATATTAATGTAATGCTTGTTGTGAAAGGGTTTTTAAGATCTTATTTTGAGAAAGGATCATATTTATTCAGAGATCCAGTCCCAAACTGTTAGAATTATTTTTTTAAAAAAAATTAGCAGCTGATTTTTTAATTTATGATTTTAATCAATAATGTTATGTCCTGTTGGTGAACAACATGATATGATCCAATTTAAGTATAAAACCAAACTAAACTCTGACATGGTATTCATGTATGGGGGGAGGGGGGAAGGAAGGAGGGAGGGAGGGAGAGAGAGAAAGGGAGAGAGAGAGACTGACTATATCATTGCTCCCTTTTTCTGCAACTACAATTAAGCCATGAATGAAGGAAAAAAAATGTATTTTGGCCAGTTACACTTAAAACTCCAAATCAAGTATTTATTCTTTAGCAAAGATTTGCAGGCAGGGTGCTCGGTTTGGAAAGATGAATGTTGTGTCAGATTATTCAGGGACTTAGGTTGTGTATATTTCTTCAAGTGATTCAACAAAGATTCATGGCATTGCCTAGATTCCAAAGCTCCTAGGCAAGCTGACAGTTGCAAATATCCTTTCCTTTTGACAGCATATGTCACTGTAAGGGAATTGGTCTCTCTTTCGATATGTGCAGGCACACATACAGGAACCTTTTCCGGTAGTGCTGTAGGATCCGAACATAGGAGGAAATGTGCTTTATGTTCTAGTTGCTCCTGTAGAAAAAAATTATTTGGGGACTTTGGACTGAAGGTATGCAATGTGAGTCTCACAGCTTTTTGTGTCAATAAGAACTTATTTGCATTGTGGTATAAAGGAAAGTTAAGAATTCAGTGATTCGTGAGATCAGAAATCTAATATTTTTTTCCCCCACCTTTTCCTTACAGATTTTTTGGTGGTATATATTGTCATTATGAGATGTTGTCTCTCGGTGCTTCATTTGTGCAAATTAAATTCGATGATCTGCAGTTCTTTGAAAACTGTGGCGGCGGAAGTTTTGGGAGTGTATATCGAGCCCGATGGGTTTCTCAGGACAAGGAGGTGGCTGTGAAGAAGCTGCTAAAAATAGAAAAAGAGGTAAGGCCGTGAACATTACATTTACGCTTTGAACTGGAAGTTATAGTCCCAGCTCTTTGTTTTCGGTGTTTCTGAATTCTGGGATGTGTTTTCTCCTTCAATTCTCAAGAATATAATACTGGGAAACTGTACTATTAACAAAAACCAGAAAACCATTTTACAGTTGGAACGTGGATAGCACAATACTTTGGACAGAATAAATTAATTAAACCTCAAATAAAGTTAACATAGTGAGAATGTATTCAACTGTAAATATAGAAAACAATATGTTAAAAGAGTAGAGTAGAATCAAATCATTTTTACTTCCTGATTTTTAAGCAGGTAAATAAGATGCTCTATCTTTTGTTAAAATAGGTGCTGCTCCAGGATTGGATTTTGGTACTCAGATATCAAGTTACTTGTCATGTTGGTTTTCCTGGGAATCACATGCTTTTTATTGGGACAAGGTTGCAGGCTTGGTGTGCAACATTGTATTCCAGTCAGACTTGTATTTTTGGAAATGTGTTGTAATACTAATAGGCATTCTCAATAAGAATCTGTCCTTCCATTCTAAAGCAAGGCAGTGCTGTTAACAATCCTGAATTTGATTGTCCTGAAAGAGGAGGAAATTGTAGTAGTGAATATTTCTTGACTTGGATGGGGCGGTGATGGGGCTCTGTGCATGTGTGTGGAAAGGGGTATCAAAGTTCCTCCTTAGAAATAATATATGTAGGGCTAGTTCCTAATACAGAGATAATACTTCCACACTCTGAAGAAAGTGGCTTTAGTAGAAAGAATATGAACATACAATAGCAATAACAATAACAATAGCACTTAGACTTATATACCGCTTCACAGTGCTTTACAGCCGTCTCTAAGCAGTTTACAAAGTCAGCATATTGCCCCCAACAATCTGGGTCCTCATTTTACCCAACTCGGAAGGATGGAAAGCTGAGTCAGTCAACAATACTTTTAACATCTCGATCTTTCTATATTTATTTCATGGCAGAGAAATAGTACCGTAGTAGTAGTAATAGTAGTAGTAGCAATAGTAGTCTTGTCAGAAAAGAGTTTCATATTATGGACAACATTAAATCCACATTTCAATGATTAGCCAGAGTAGTAGGCCCCAATTCAATATGGATTAACCAGAGAGTAAATCAAATTGATTTGTTTGAAGAGAGTAAATCTTTTATTTAGTTCGTAGTTACCACAGCACTGGAAAAAGTGACTCAGGACTGTTTTTATATTGTTTTTCACAATTGTTGCAGCTTCCCCATGGTCATGTGATTAGAATTTAGGTGCTTGGCAACTGGCAAGTTCTTATGACGGTTGCACTGTTCCAGGGTCATGTGATCATCATTTGTTACCTTCCCAGCCAACTTCCAACAAGCAAAATGAATGGGGGAAGCCAGATTCATTTAACAACCACATGATTCACTTAACAAATGCCATTATTCCCTTAACAACTGTGGCAAAAAGGTTGTAAAAGGGGCAAAATTCAGTTACCATATTTTTCGGAGTGTAAGATGCACTTTTGCCCCCCTAAAAGAGGCTGAAAATTTGGGTGCGTCTTATACTCTGAATGCAGCTTTTTTGAAGCTTTTTCTTCAGCTCTAGGGAGTGAAGCAATCTTCCTTGGGCTTTGCCTGCTCCCTCTGACTCTCAGCTGTGTTTTAGAAACCCTAACGAGGCGCTAGCAATCTTCCACTTTGCCTGCTCCCTCCGACTCTCAGATGTGCTTTAGAAGCTTTTTTTCAGCCCTAACGAGGCGCTAGCGAGTGAAGCGATCTTCTGAGCTTTGCCTGCTTTTCTCATTGCTGCTCCCTCTCAGCTGTGCTTTAGAAGCTGGTTTTAATCCCCAAGTAGGGGATAAAAAGCACTCGCAAGCACTCAAAACCAGTAAACTAATGTGCTGAAACTGACCAGACTAAGGAGGCTAGCCAGATGAATACCCAGTAGGCAGATTCTTTTTTCTTATTTTCCTCCCCAAAAACTAAGTTGTGTTTTATACTCCGAAAAATATGGTAACAACTGTCTTGCTTAGCAACATACATTTTGGGTTTGATCGTGTTTGTAAATCGAACACTGCCTGTTGCAAACCAAATTATAACATTCTTATGAAATGTTCTCATTAAATCAACATTCCCTTGGGTGTCTTGGAGAATTTAAAGAAAAAACAACAAAGTGGTAAACACAGAAAATCAGATAAAATACAATGAAATCAAGCTTTAAGTAGTCTTAATATCTGTTTTGCAACCTGTATAACAGCCAGTGCGAGACTCATCTTTATTTCTTCTTTATTTATAATTTATTTCTTTATTGAAAAAATTGATATATTTGAAACTGAGAACTGAACAAGTATTTGAAATGTGAACTGCATGCTGAAGAAAATTCCTTTAAAGTTTATATCAGCAATCAATTTCAGTTTTTATGAAACAGTTGCATAATAGTCTAAATAGTTATAAATAGTATAAATAGTTACTGTAGTAATCATCATAATAATTGTTATTATGATTATTTGTATTTCTCAGGATCAAAGGACCACTTTGCTTGATACTTTGTTTTTATTATTTATTCATTGTTAATTTGTCTCCTGACTTTCTATCTATTCAATGCATCTTAAATAATTAAAAATGCAAATTCCAAAGATTAAGAATAAAAACAGTACAGTTAAATTCAGAGCAGTATTAGTAAATCCAATTCAATAGTGTGAAAAATTGCTTCTATAGAGGTCTACTCGAGAGTAGGTTTAACTGAATTCAGTGGAGCTTCCTAACTGAGTGGAATCGAACTTTACCCAAAAGAATTAAAGGACCTTTATTTAATATTCCAGATTTTTTTTTCTTTTAACGACCCTGTAATCCCTTGCATTGAGCTGGAGTTGAGGCAACTAAATGGAGCTGAACATTTACTGGTCGGATGCCCTGCCTGATGCCTATGCGGAGTTCGCGGCAGGTATTTTCTCTTTACGCCAAGAGAGAGAAATATCTGCCGCTACCTAAGATTGAACTCACAACCTCCTGATTATGAGGTGACAGCTCTATCTCTAGGCCACCACACTCACCTGATATTCTTGTATTAATTAAACCAAAATTTCTGTGCTCTATTGCAGCAATCCCCAACTTTTCCAGTTTGGCAGCCCGGCGCAGCGTATGGGTGCGCGTGTGAGTGGCAGATGCACATGCACAGCATTTGTGTGAGCATTGCGTGCATGTGCCCTCCGCTTGCACAAGTGGAGCTTCACACTCACCTGCCTGTCCATTTCTCCCAGAGCCCAGTTTCGAACAGGCCACGGCCCAGGGGTTGGAGACCCCTGCTCTATTATGTGTTATGCAAGTAGACATCTGCTTGCACATTCTGGCTTGTTTTTACTTTGCTTTCTCCTCTCCTTCCAAAATCTGCTTTAAGGTGGTCCCACATTCAGCTGAAGGAGTCATGCAGTCTAGCACAAGGACAACTATTTTACACTTTGAAGCATGTTTCTAAAAATATCTCAAAATGAAATAGAACTATAATTTTCATTGCCTAGAGTAAGCCATGTCTTTTCCTCCTTAATTCGTAAATTAAGGGCCTTCACATAGCCTCTTCTTGCTAATGTCAATAAAGCTGGAGAGTCATATAGAAGACCACCAGGAAATCTGAGGATTGTAAATTAGACAACCATTAGACAATTAGATGGGGAAGCTGGAAAATATATATAAAAAGAAGTAGTAACAAACTGTGTCTGTGTTGCTGCTAAGAAATGTACATGAATATGCCCATTAGGTATCAAGACCAACCCAAGTAAATTCTTAGCACTCCCATTTTAATTTAATTCAGATTGCAAATGTCTATGTCCCTCGCAGATCTAAATATCCTCAAATTACTTGTGAAATTCAGCCTTAATATAACTCCATTATTAGTTGAAGGTTAATAATTTCGTTATGGTTGAAACTTTTTATTTTAAAATCATTGAGATGCCATTGCAGTTCCTTCCATAAATATACTTTTGGCAGTCAGTTTGGAGCCTGTTTCATTCTTGGAAATTTTTAATTAAAATACTTTGCTTGTTGTTGTTTGTACCAGCAAATATAAGACTTATATGCGTCATGGGAAATTCATGTGCTAATAGAAAAATTTTACATTTTTAGATAAATTGAGCAGTTTTGTAATTTGAGAGTAGGGTAGTTGTATATACTGTCTGGGTTCTTGGAAGTGTTAGAATTATATGCGTCTGGCATGTTTAATTTAATTTATAGCACACTGTCAAGAGATTCACACTAGCAGTTTATTCTGTTTATACAGTAGATTTGCAACAAAAAATTACAACCTCGGTATCCCACTATAGGAGAAAAGCTGTCTTAGTCTATGGTGGCAAAAAAAATCAGGAATCTGGCAGTAATTTTTCCAACTAACTGATTAAAAGGTATAAGCTTTTGTGAGTTGCAGCTAACTTCATCACATATGCAGAGTGACTAGACTGATGTAGGATTTAAACTGGGGGGAGATGGGGGCAAGAAAAAGCAAAAAGAAAAAGGTGTGGAGGACAGATCAGGGAAGAGAGGTTGGTTGTATAGAAAAAGGCTATATGTGACCCATATTACTAGCACCTTATTGGTTAACAATTTTAATATGTTAAAAACCTATTGCATTTGTTGAGCCCTTCTGAGATTGCCTGAAACAATTATGTATGGCAGTTCAACAACTGCTTACTTAATGGTGCTGTTAAAGTCCAGCTTTCCCAAAACAATAACAGAAATTACTGTTTTGGGAAAGCTGGACTTTTAACAGCATCATTAAGTAAGCAGTTGTTGAAGTGCCATACATAAATAATCGTTTCAGGCAATCTCAGAAGGTCTCAACAAATACAATAGGTGTTCTGGGAGGTTAAAATGCTTTGATATTACTTCAATCTTGCTTGATTACTGATGCCAGACTTGTGTCCATTCTGTACAAAGTTTGTTCTATTTCTCCGATATAGAATCCATGTGGGCATTGCTGCAGATGATGATTTATAACACAAAGTGGAGGAAGAGCTT